GCAGCAGCAGCAGCAGCAGCAGCGCGCTCACTTGGCCATCTCCCGATTCAGTTTAGGCCAAACGACAGATCGCACCGAATTCTCCGATGGCCCTGCTATCATGCGAGGGAGGGGTCATGTTCATGTTTGGAATCAATTGCATCGACACGGCAGTCTAATGGGCTAGCCACGGTACGGCTGTGCGTACGCCTCGTAGCCATACTGAGCGTTGTTGGTCTGCAGTGGCTGAGCACCCCAACCTGGATGCGCGTTGGCTTGGTAAGGCTGCTGCTGCTGGAGCGCGTGCTGCTCGGACAGGTGGAGCTGCGACGAATCAGCCGGAGAATCGTAGGCGCCGCCCGAGTGGTAGGGCTCGAGGCCGGTGTAGGTCTGCTTCTCCTCGGCGCCCGGCTGCGACTGACGCCACTGTCGCAGATCGCGGGGCAGCAGCGCCAGTCCAGCCAGGTACGCCACAGCAAGCACCGCCGCCCAGATCCACAGGATCCACTTGGCCCATCGCGGCGGGCCCCAGTCCCACAGGCTGAGTCCTTCGGTCGAGTTCCAGATGGCAGCGCCCGTCACGCCGAGTCCGAGCACCACATGCACGATCCTCGACACGTTGAAGCGCTTCGTCTTGTGGCCCGCAGCACCGAGCGCAATCTGAACGATCATGAGGATAAAGATGGCAAGACCCGCCTTGCCGTGCGTGCTCTCAAAGTGGCCATCGCCGCCTCGACCCACTTCGACAACGATGAGGATAAAGGCGATCAGCACCACCACAAACGCGGCGATCTGCAGGCCGCGGTGGACGGGAAACCAGGTGAACAAGGTGCGTCCGAATCGGCCCACCAGGATGCCGGCAGGCACGAGGATGAACCAGCCGAGGATCATCATGATCATGTGTGCAATGATGAGCTTGTTGCTCGTGTTGAGTACGCGCGTCGACGTGGCCTGGTTGTTGGCGCCCGTGGATGGCGTCAGGGGCGTGCCGTTGCTGTTCGAGCCCGAAGCAGAGGACGACGAGGACGACGACGTGGAAGGCGTGTAGGGCTTGGTGAGGTCGAGCGAGAATGTGCCATAGTCCGAGTGCTGCTTGAGATGAGCCGATGTGCTCGAGGCAGGGTTGTTGTTCTTGTTCAAGGCCCAGATGAACGATGTGGACTAGCCCGGCGTGGGGTCGGAGCTCGAGAGCGGGAACGACCATGCCCACACGGTGCCCGAGCTGTTGGAAAACGACTGTTTGGTATGCATCGTGGCGGCCGCGGCCGTGATGGTGGTGACGGGATCATCGTGGCCCGAGGCGGTGCGTTGCGACATGACGACGTTGCCAGTGGTGTCGACCCAGCCGATCATCATGTTGGAGCCCTTCATTTTGTTGCCAGTGCCCACGGCGTACCAGCCGTTGGGTGCTCCGCCGCCATCGGTCGACATGGTCATGTTGTACACCTTTTGCGAAGGGCTGTAGATGACGCTGAGGCAGAGGTTCGAGTTGCAACGCGAGTCGGAGAACAGAGAAGATGACGACGACGACGACGAGGATTGTGCCGAGATCAAGCTGGCCATCAGCAGGACGCACCACGCAGCGAGCATGTTGGATAGTCGCGGCATGGCAATGGTTTGCCCTGGACGTGCGTGCACAGGACGAAAGGCTTTTAGATATATATATATGCGCCGAGAGAGCGCGGCTTTGTCCGAGATGAAAGCGGCG